AATGGGACGCACTCCTCATGAGGGTGGACGGTGGGATAACGCTCTGATTACAGATTTATGCTTTTTTCAGCAGATTTTTTGGTTCAATCATCAACCAGCTCATGCTAAACTAAACCCTGATCCTAACCCTAACCCTGATCCTAACCCTAAACCTGACCCTGACTCTGACCCTGATCCTGATCCTGACCCTAAACCTGACCCTGACCCTAACCCTAACCTTAAATCTAACCCTAACCCTAACCCTAACCCTAACCCTTCATAATTGTGAGAAATAAATATATAATATTCTATCACTGAGCTGACAAGGCTTTTTCTTATTTTTGGCCAGTATTCCCAGTATAGAGCAGTCCAGTCCCAGTGTGAATATCTCCTTTCCTTTCCACTGTTGTTTGCAAAGGTTTCCTTTAATATAAGAAACTTCATTTTAATCAAACTATAATGTTTTAAATGGTTTCCTGTGTTCCTCCAACAGCTCTGCTGGTGTGATGCAAACCTCCTTTTTAGTTGATGAGCGTCTTGTTTTGTGTGGAAGCAAACTGACAGTAACCAGCCTGTCCTCATCAGGGAGTGCTGTGATGAAGACTCTGTCTTTTCTTCCTCAGGGACTTGAACTACAACAACCTGGTGGAGTTTCCGTCGGCCATCCGCTCGCTGAGCCACCTGAAGGAGCTGTGAGTCCTGCCAGGTTCTGACCGGCTCAGACTGTCTGGCCTTCTTTAGAGGAGTTCATGTTGTTATTTGCTAGTGCTGACAAAAAAACAGTTTTTATTTATTTATTCATTCTTTTTATCATTATTATTTTTTATTTAATTTATATCTATTGTATTTTATTTTATTATTTTTTATGTATCTATTTATTTAATTTTTTTTATATTTTATTTATTTATATATATATATATATTTATATATTTATTTATTTATTTTTATTTCATTTTAATTTAATTTAATTTTTTAATTTTTAATTTTAAAATTTTTTTACTGGTTCTTTTCTGAGAGAAGGGCGCAGAGGAAGCTAACTTTTTTTTTTTTTTCCTGTGAAGCGGTTTCCACAGCAACAACATCCAGTCCATCCCAGAGCACGCTTTCACTGGGAACCCATCACTGACCACCATGTAGGTCCCACAGCCTCCAACACACATCCAACACAGATGCTCATTGTTAACCTCGGTTCTTAATCCATTTTACTAGCAACACCTTTAAAATCTGTTTTAAACTGATTAGTATTTTCCATTATTCTGGTTTTAGCTGCAGGACATCTGACTGATGGCTTTCACTGAGAGCATTAATTACTTTACTTAAAGAACTCCTGTTAGAGTTAGAAATAAAAACAAAAAGAGGGTTACAAGATACTCTAAATATATCAGTTTTACATTTTTCCCCTAAAAACTTTTAATAATTGAGAAACTTTTATTTAAGAAGAAGTCCATCAATCCATTATCATAACCGCTTATTCCAAAGTCACAACATTATATTTTGTGACTAAAAAAACAAAGGATTTACTTACAAAATGTGAAGAAAGGCTGATGTTTTTATTTTTGTGAGGTTAAGAACTGAGGAGTGAGGCCAGCTTTCAGGAGATGATGAACATGTTTCTGTTTGTGCTTTTCAGATTTTTTTATGACAATCCCATCCAGTCTGTCGGACGCTCCGCCTTTCAGAACTTACCCGAACTGCGGACCCTGTGAGTAACTCCACAAACCCTCAAATCCACGAGCACCAGGACGTACTCAGACTTTACCAGACCCCCGTCCTGCTATTTCCTGTGTGTGTGTCTCTAAACTGGACCATTTCTCTGAAGATTAATGTCGTGTTGCATTGAATAAGATGTGAAAATAGTCTAATAAGCATCTTAAAAGCAAGCTTTAAAAATCCTTTTTCCAGGCCCAGCTGTCGCCCCCTGCTGGCAGCAGTTAAAATGCAGAATTAAAGTTCACACACACACACGTGTGTATGTGTGTGTATGAGCACATCACTCATCATTTACAGAAGGTTTATGTGTTTGTTTTATAAATGGTGACTCAGCTCTGCTGAGTTTCAGAGCTCATACGTGGGGAGTGGGGGTCACCCGGAGGCGGCTCCGTCTTTAGCCTGATCTCCGTCTTTAGCCTGATCTCCGTCTTTAGCCTGATCTCCGTCTTTAGCCTGATCCTTATTGAATCAGGTGCTAATTACACGAAGAATGCAGGCAGCCAGGATATTTTCTGTTTCCTCCACCTAAAGCAGCTTTTCTCAGCGGGAGCTCCGTCTTGTGTTTCCCTCAGATCTCTGAACGGAGCCGCACAACTCACCCAGTTCCCCGATCTGACAGGAACCCAAAGTCTGGAGAGCCTGT